TTCTATATATTTTTAGTTGTCCGATTAATTTCTTTCTATTTTTAGTAGAGATGGGGTCTCGCTCTTGCTCAGGCTGGTTTCGAACTCCTGAGCTCAAAGAATCCACCTGCCTCGGCCTCCCAGAGTGCTAGGATTACCACATATTATTTTCTTGACCGAACTCTTTTTTAGGTCTCCCTCTGAAACAGTCTCACTTTTAAATATATATTACTGTCCTACAAAATATAATGTATGATAGTTTTTAGAGTCAAAAATGATGTTTTATAATGCCCCTAATGTAATATTATTCACCCCCTAGACAGCTATTGGATACAGTAAAACACTACGGTGTATTACATCTAATAGGGCACCATAGGTCACTACATGGAATATCATTTGGAGTTACAAGGGACTCTAACTTATGAAATTTGATGAGAATAAAATAACAAAAACATGTGAAAATATTCTTTCTCAATCAGCTATTGGTGGCTTTCAACCTGTGAAAAATAGAAATTATAACCTGTTCATTTAGGAAGACACATTTACCTAATCATTTGGGCTCTCTGAAGAATTGCTTTATGAATCACAAGTTCCAATTTAGTGAAAATATTACTGTGTTCCCTGGAGGAATTCCTCCCTTGGGCATTAACACCTTCAAATCCATTGAGTCCAAGCTTGAAGGGATGGGAAATGATAATTCTTTAGGTAGGTTATGTGGTGTAATAGTGAAAGAGGCCACTCTTAGCTTTATCCTTTTGTTCCCAGTCCTGTACATGCTGAAGATAGGAGAGACAACAGTATCTATTAGCCCCCTCTACCCATTGTTTCCCAGCCTATGCATTCCAGTTGTAAAGGGGACACCACCACATATTGGCCAATAATTTTAGCATATACTGCATCCTGTCAGACAGAGCACTCTAATCTCTTAAGATGTTGTCACCCAGATGACCCAGATGGGCCATAACTGACCCTTTAAAAGGCCATTTCATTTCATTTTAGCAAACCATATATCTCTGGGTGACAGAGACAAGGTAAAACCAGTAAATTCTGCAGGCATGAATCCAGTGTCTTCCTTCCTTCTCTGTAAACTTAGTTTCTTAGTTGAGGGCAATGTAATATGTGATACTATAGTGATGAGTAAGGTTTTCTGTAGGTTTATGAATGATTATGTGGACATAAATACTATAAAGAGAGAAGAAAAATCCATATGCATATTAAATATCTATATTCATGAGAACAAATGTCTGCCCACTCCGTAATGGAAGGGATCCAATATAATCAACCAGCCACCAGATGGCCAGCTGGTTTTCCTGTGGAATGTTATCATCTTGTGGCTTATTATTGGCCTACTCTGTTGGTAGATTAAATACCCAGCAGTGGTGGTAGCCAAGCCAGCCTTGCTGAGGAAAAATCTCTGTTGTTAAGTCCACAAATAAGCTTCGCCCATACTGTCATACTCACTTTGTAAATGAACCCATTGAGCAAGCACCAGGAAGGCTAGCAAAAGAAGCTGACTGGTATCCACAGGAGGAATCCCCTTGTCCACTTGATCACCAGTAGCCGCCTCTGCAGTGGATGCCGCCTAGAGCATACTTACATAGGGCATATCTATCCACATACATCTCCCCCACAACTCCTTATCACTTCTAATATTATTCTTTCCAGGTCTCTTTCCTGTTGATCAACCTTTTTAGCCACTACCCATGAATCTTTGTAGGGCTACACCACCAGCCATCTTCCATTCCACAAAACATGGGTAACCAGATGTACCACCTGAAATTCTTCCTTCTGAGAGAATTCTCTTTATCACTGTCTCCCATGGCCATCCCAAGTGGAGCTGTAATACAGTAGCCATCGTGAATGCAGACCTTTCTCTCAACAAGATTATGCATTGACACTATGGTGTATATACCTTCTGTAAACCAGTTCAGTTTTTTTTTTTTCATTTAGGTGGTCATAGGGAACTCTTCATGAAGCCATAACTGTTAATTGAGGGGTAAGTGGAAAGGCCGAAGGAGCATATACCATGGAAGTCTGAACTACTTATCTCAGGCAGTTTCCTTGTAATTTCTAGACCTACTAGGACATTCTCATATATATACCATTTCCACTTTACAATGGAACAATGCTGTGCATGGTCAACTCTGTGATTGTGTGGATCTAATAACACACAGTTTATTGCAGGCATTCTGAGTAACATAATCATTTAATCATGATTGGAGTTCAGTTTCTACCGTGACCCAACAGAAGATCAAGAGAACACTTGCCGGCAGAAAATAGCAAGGGCTTATGCCAATACCCTAGGTATCTGCATTTTTATTCTTTACTAGGGCTTGTCAGAGGCTCCATACAGCAGCTCATTGGTATAGGCCACTTTTTAGTCCAGGATACAGTTAACACATCTAGCAATTCTCAGAGCTTTAAGCCAACACCTTAAATCCTGAATTCCAGGCAAGAATATAAATTTGGGTGTTATAATCTTTTACTTCATTCATTTTAGTCTAATACCCTTAGAATATACTCTTATACATGCTCCCTTGACTCTCAATAAAAATTGGCAAGAGAAAAAAAAAATTGGCAAGATCCTGTAACTCTTCCAGTGTACAAACTAACTCATACTAGGCGACACCTTATTCTTCCTCACCAGTATCCTTACTTTAGCATAAGATCTAACAGAAAATCACATTTAATTGACAATATAGTTCTGCGAACCTTAAT